TGTGGTTTCTCAAGTGGTAGATCTCCATCTTTAAATCTAATATCAATAGCTTTAGGTTTCATGACCGACCAGCTTATTGTATGTTCCCCAGTTTGGTACTTTGATGGAGCATTATGGTCGTCAAAGAGAATATTCAAAATCAAATAAAGGAGTCTTCATGCTTGTCATTATTATTATTATTATTATTTTGACATAATTCAGTTTCCAGCTGCAACTTGATGATTGTTGATTCTGTTTCCTGTGCTTGTTTGGAGAGCAAATTGTGAAGTACTTGCAGGTTTTTAATTACAATAAGTTCATGAAACCTTCTAGTGGATAAATTTTTAATAACAGAATTTGTGTGGAAACAGTATACTTTCATCTTAACTGCAAGCAAAGCATTGCCTAAACAGTGTATAAGGTATGGGACTACCACTGCCAAATATGCTTCAAGGAAAAATGTGGGTGTGCGTATCCCCGATGATCCCATTTGTCAAGCAATCCTAGAGAAAATGGATGCACCATTGATCTGCACAAGGTTGGTTTTTCTAATGTATTATTTCTCTTTTGGTATATCAGGAAGTTGTTGGGATTGGATTTAGCTATTGTAGAGGTTTTGGTCTTGAACCCAGTATCTAAGTTTTGGAGTGATGAAGTGCACATTGAGCTCTTGTTCATTTTCTAGTATATATTTACTTTAACTGAGATTATTATATGTTTTTACTTAATGATTATTTTTTCATATGTAATATAAGCAAATTTTATTGATAGCTTCTGCTTATGTATCCCATATATGCTGATGATGTCTTCCTTTTTGTTAGTGTCAAGTCACCAAAGGAAAATGAGTGGATGATAGATCCAGTTGTAATAGTTGATATATATGGACCAAAGGTATGGGTTTGTCTTCATTCCAAGTTTAACAAACTTTGCAGGATTTCTGTTGTTTTTCCATGGCAACAAATGCCTTGGATTTTTGTTAGCCCATCTTTCTCAAGTTTGTGCAGGCTTAGGGATGGGTTTTTTAAGACCTTTTCCCCTTAGGTTTTTAGTTTTATGCAGGAATGATCTCAGTTTCTCTTGTTATAAATTTGATTTTTCATTGCTTTTGATGGTTATGTTTCATCACCAATATCTCCTTTCTTTGGAAAAAAAAAAAGAAAAAAGAAAAAAAAAGTCCACAACATCACTGAGGAGAATAATCCTTCACTGTTGAGTCTAAGGAAAATAATATAATAGGCTATTTAGAATTTGGCCAGTTTCATGATGCGGACAACTCTCACTCTCTTTTCTAACCTTTAGCTGTTGAAAGTCTAAAATGGTAGTTTGTTGGAGTCCT